TTGTACGAGAAAGTACAAAGACCGGCACAGCCGCTAGTATCATGCGTCGGGGGTTGAGCTCAGGTAGAGCTAGAAACCTAGCCCAGGTACAGATGGAGATAAGGGGGTACAAAAAACAGAATTGAATGAAATGAAAGAATATTATTGTGCCTCAACTAACAGCTTAAGAATTATGTATGAACAAAACAAAAATCAAACAAAAAAGGAATAAAAACGATGTTTCTACCTTTGTTACAAGTGAGTCCTGAGTCTTTTGATTGTAAATATTTGTTTGTGTGCCTACCGAGAGCGAGCAGACAGACAGACAAGATGATGTGAGCAACAGCCGATCCAAGGAGGAGGACTGGGTTGAAGGAACGCTTGTGCTGCATGCTGGGAATGGAGTCGTATTTGAAGGTGGAAGTATCGCAGTGCATTCTGGTTCACGCAGACGTTCTGCTACAAGCAGTATGTGTCTTGCCTTAACAACCTACAGAAAATATCAATAAAGTTACTCTGGGAAGCTCTCCAATTACCGGGGTGGGTGTACGAAGAACCATTCAAAAATAAATAAAATAAAAAAAATAATATATCCTTACTTTGAAGTGGATAACTTTATCTACTCTTTGTACAAGCGGTCTTAGTCGCTTTCTAAATGTCATTATGATCTCAAATTATTTGAAATAATGGTTTAAAGAGTCATTGCCWCCCAGCATACCTTGCGAACTATTGTAAACATCGTAGCATATRCATACATAATCTGAGAATGGACTGATATTGTACGATAAAACCCACGGATGAATGTGGATTGTAATAAACGGACATTTAAAGTCGGCTCATAAGGTCCGTTGGTGAGAAATCTAAGCCACGACCGCATTACATGCTAGTTGTCTATCTTACTAATGTAAGCTTACCTCGTGTATTTGTTCTAATCTATCCAGTTGTTTTTGATGTTCGTCTATTATAGACGGGCCTTTAGGTTTCCATCCTTGTAGGTTTTCCTCTCCTCTTACGTAGATAGTTGAAGTATCAACAATCTTTCGTCTTGGCTTTCGAACTAACAAAAGAAAATAACGAGAAACARACGATTATTGAGTTACTTAGTTACTAGAGAAGTGCTTTATTTACCAGAAGAACACAGGCAGTCCATCCTTTATTRCTAAAAATTYATTAAAAATAGCGACCCTTACCGTGCCCGTGTTCATCTGCAGGATGCARTATTAATTCATATATTCCACTGTATTTGTAACTAGAAAATAACAATAGATTTAGTACATTCTATAGCAATATTAAATAGTTCTTCCATTGGTAGCAATGATTTACCAGCTTGAAGAAGGAGAACCAGTCAGTACTTTCCATACAGATCTACAAAACAAAATGCTTTGTATTAAAACAAATAAAACGGCATTGTATAGAGTGTTTTTTTCATAAACCCGTGAAACAAAGTGTAATAATTAGAGTGTAATAGATCGTAATAGTCGCGTAGAGACAAAAAAAAACAAAAGAGCCAAAGTTTAATAGCGATAAATACGCTAAAGTGTGTTTCACGGGTTAATGAAAATCACTCTAATGTAAAATGATAATATTCATGTTGTACACAAGTATGAACCTTGAAGGAGTCGTTTTAGCATCTCTACTGAACACCTCCAGGCAGATATCTTTCTGTAAATAGGTACTGCGACAACAACTGTCAATCTAACATAAAAAACACACACAAGCAAGCTTGTCAAGAGAAATTCTGTAAGTTATTAAACAAATAATACTATTAAGCGAAATATTAAGCAGGGATTACCTCAATAGAAGCAGACATTGTTACATAAACAACCTCGCCAGGAGGTGTTACTCTGAAAATTGAAAAATAAAAACAGTTTATTGATAAATTGCCAAATGACTTTCATTTCTTTTTCAGTGAAATCAGTCAATCAATCAACCTGTCAGTGAGTCAATCTGTCATCAGTTACCTATTCAGAAGGAATGAATTATGAAGTGACGAGTCCCAAGCCGCCTCGAACTTAAAGACCGCTTTATCATCGTCCGGGTGGGACTGGATCTGAGGCGATAGTATGTTTAGTGATAGAGGCTGCGAAGGTCTACTTGAAGGCGATCTGGTCGAACGAACTTGACCTAAACCAAAAACAGTACTTTATAATTATAAATACAAATGATTTCCTCTCGAAAAAAGGTCAGCAAGTACACAGGCAAGAGGCTGATATTATATATTATAGTATAGACAGCTATCATACCTATTGTCACGGTTTTTAATCTTCTCATTCTAAATTCCGGAGAATTCTCATGCATTATTGTTACTACTAAACGTCTTTGAATTCCCTGAAACAATACACATTATTGACTATAAGAAAACGTTTTTTATGCTGAATTCCGCTGGCACTAAATATTGCGGGCGTTTTACGCAAAGAATAAATGGATTGCGCCTACCGAGATGTTTCTTTACCTGATGCAATCGAAAAATCCAATCGTTTTTGTCGCTAGATGTTTGTTTTACGACACACGGGAAGTACCTAAAGAAAAACAAAAACTTCGCACTTATTCATAAAATACGCAACTTTTCAAAAATATCATAATGAACTTACTCTCCTGAGGGCGACAATTCGAATATTTCAATCCAAACTACCATATCTAGCGTAGAGTTTAGAGATTCCTCTCTAGAAACATATAATAAAATGAAAATCGTATCAAAAAATCCAAACATGTACAGTACAGCCGCCATCTTGAACCATGACGTCATCAAGATGGCGGCCGCATAAGATCTAGAGAGTATTCAGACTAATACGAAGTAAAAATTACCCATTGAAACTTACTCAATTTTGACATCGGAGTAGTTGATTCTCTCTACAAGAAAAATAGTTCAACTATATCAGATCCTAGCGCAAAAATATAAATGCATAAAGAAATGAYGTCAAATCATAGTTAATAGTTAATACTAACTATGGTAATATAATACATACCCGGTAACTTAGAAAGAATGTCCCCCAACGCGTTCGGAACATCTCTATAACGAGATAAACAACATTTGATGTTTGACAATGATTATAGGGAATGCCTTAGCTTCAACCGTACTATTGTACAATACAATAGTAGATGAGATCATACCGTGGAATACTGGCCTGGTGACGAGGATGGTTTCTATAGTGACCAAACACTTGAATGTGCAAAGGCTTACTACTGACGTAGTCAATGAATTCTCTGGTTACCATGACGCCCAGCTAAATATATAAAGGAGGATTGTAAAAGATCTACACGCAATGGAGATTTAATTCAATCTCGTCTCCAGGATCTCTCTTCTCGCTCTTTTTTTTCAAAATGGCGTCGCTCTTCGCACGAACATACCTTTTGACAATGGTTGAATTCAACGGTGGACTCTCCGCTGACCGGCTCAGTGGAAAAACCAACGTCCTCAGCGGAGTTGAGAAACCTACAGAGGGCCATTTTGAAACKTAAAACAAATTTCCTTAMACATTTCTTGACCAAAGAACAAGATTTACTATATATTAGCKTTCCTTTGACGTCATTTACCTTATTTGGCAGAACAAATCAGTGTAGTCCACAGGAAGCCCGGAAGCCTTGAGCACAGTAATCGTGAATATGAACGTCGASCCGACAACAAGCGAACCTTTTGTGAATGGCTGGCTACTGCTCTCGTCGTCCGAGTGATTACAATCAAGTTGTCGCCATTTCTTGATTTGCTACATGTGAACAAAATAAAGACGACAGGGCATGTGTATTGATGTTTCAACAACAAAAACCTTTCCAAGGTTTAGAAATTATTACCTCTCCAAATATAATCCATAAAACAGATGACTTGCTTGCTTGGTCTATTTCTAATGTTTGGTCTAAACACAAACCAAACAAGAAAAAGATTATAAATAGTCTTTGCTTCACAATTCTCTCCGCCATCTTGAAAGGTGAATGTCAGTATGATTGACACCTGTCAATAATTCTCTTTAGAATTAAAGGTTCGATCATTGCACGTTCAACGGTCGCCTCGCTTTCGAGACGGAGGAGAGAACATTGAAAGCAACTATTTCCTTTATAAATYACGTCTTTCGACGTTCTCGATGACTGCATGTTAAATATGAAGACATTGTTCGTCACGTGGTTTTATTTTAAAACGCCTTAGACAAGAGACAAGACGACCAAGGCACCACTTACCATAACATTGTTGAATGTCGATTAAAACATGCCCTTGTAATTTGCCTGCTTCGCTTATGATTGGCGTGGCCTGTCGTAGACTTATGCCATACACAAGATTACTTAAATAAACGAACGACCTGGAATGAAGAAGGATCATAGTCTTTTTAAAAAAACTTTCTTCAGAACCTTTAGCAGCAACATCGAATAACCATAAACTACATCATCAATGGTGACAGCGCCATTAACAACGCTGTCGACAATATCAAGTCCGTCATCATCATCATCATCATCATCATCATCATCATCATCATCATCATCATGAAGGACTATTGCCACCTTACCTTCCTACAAGACTAAACCACGGAAATTCATCGTAGAAAGGATCGCCTGACTCAAATGAGACAGCAGTAGATTCAGCAGCAGTTTCATACATAAACCTCATGTCCTCCAGACGAGCTCTAAAAAAAAGGAAAGACTTTTGCTTTTGGCAAAACACTCAAATAGATATTCGTCTTCAATTTGCCTCCAAGGGTAAACGCCTTTCAACGATCCGTTAAGTTACATATTTCCCTTTCCGCTAAATCCTATCCTCGCTCCTTTGTTTCCCCAGAAAGGGAACCAGGAATAAACTAGAATCTGCGTACCTTAATTTGTCCAGTGACCAATAATGATTGGCACCATTCTTCTTATCCTGGACTTCCACAGCAACAACTGTGCCTGTTTGTTTTCTGTCTGGACAAGTGTGTGTTGGTATTGGGGTAAACAATGTGTCTGTTAATAACGTAAATTGAAACTCTACCTGGAAAACAAGAGAGAAAAATCGATAKCGTACCCTTGCTCTGTGCTAAATACTCTAGTTTCGGGATTCCTGGGGGCACAGGGAACCCGACACTCCGGCACTGCAACAAAGTACAAGGAGTACTACTTACTTTTTTTTTCAGCTCCACACTAATAGCGTTAGCTTCTTTAAGTAAGACTGCGTAACTTAGAATATCATCCTGTAATACAACACAGTCACATCAGTCTGCATCTATGTGAACAAAACTTCTATTTAGTCTTTTGACGACGTTTAAGGATGGAATAACMTATCTCGAGATTAAAAAACRAAAAAATAAACACGAACTACGGAAACAACCAGTGTTARATATTAATACACCCTCGTAATTCCATATTATAGCATGGTGGTTTTGCGCCTCTAATGCGACGATAGCCACAAAAATTGTAACACATTACCGCTGACCATGYGGCTGGTTTGACGTCATTATGTGATGTGAAYCACTAACCTTCAATGAAGCATAACGAAAAGCTTTCCACTTTTGTATGACAGATGCAGCTAGATTCATGTCTCTTTCAGTGAAAGGACTTTCGCCTTAAAAACAATTCAATTAGGATCAATGAAGGAAACTCTCGAATAGTCTCCTTCACGGTTACCTGCGCCATCTTGAAAGGTAGCCGTGCCTTGTCATCGAAGCGAGACRACCGTTGAGCGTGCAATGATAGAAACCTTCTTTCACACCTACAGACAATTATTCATAGGTATCTATCATTGCACGCTCAACGGTCGTCTCGCTTCGGTGCAAAGGCACGGCTACCTTTCAAGATGGCGCAGGTATCCGTRAAGGAGACTATTATCGATTTATTGAAAAATAAGCACTTGGAATTATTGTATTAACCTACTTTCGACACTCGTCARGTCAAAGTCACTGTCTTGCTCAAGATCGCTGGAGGGAAATGAGGTCAGCTCCAYCTACAGTTAAAAAACGGTTTGGTTTAATATCGTTTAGAATGTTGCCCTCTAAAGCAATTCTCAAATAAACTGAGGTAAAAATTAAAAGATTTAATCTCCAACCATTTCCCGAATGCGAATGTTAACTACGTTAATCTAAAGGAAATGATTAGCTAACAAGAGATTAGTAGTACTGTYACCTGTCTTTGAAGTTCTTGAAGTTTACTTTCGTAGCTCTGAAAAGAAATACGATAGTTCAACTGTACGACTATGCTTAAAGCGTGAAACAAAGATAATGGATTTAGCACAATTACTCTTTACAAATATGGAGTAATTGTCTTCACACACATCAGAATCATCATGAGTCATCATCATTTTGTCATAAATCATTCATTGTTGCTCATAGTCAACCTTTCTTTGTTGYTCCAACAGCAGTCCAGCTTGATCTTTCTCTTGTTGTATTCTATCTTCAAGTTCAATCACTCTACGACAAACATAAGCGGTTCACACTCTAACATAATCATAATCGCAAAAAGAAACACAAACACAATAAAYTTAGGAGTTTAAAAGTATGAAGAAGACAAAAAGGTGATTTTCTTTGCTTGCTCTTAATTAACTTATGCTTGGCCTTTTGCTTATTGCTATGTTTATGATGTCTTATTTTGCACGCTTAGCTTCAATCGTTTGTCTTTTCTTTTGCTCTAGACTTATGACTATGCTTATGTCGTAGTGTGAACCGTCTCTGAATACAATTTCATCAAATAACACTGAAAAGGAGAATAAACAAAGAAAGAAAGAAACAGATTCACAAATTACCTGTCGTTCATTTCCTTCATATAGCCCTGTTCTCTTAGTAACTCAAGTACAGCAAATGACCAGTCCATGGGCTCTTCACTCGATTCACGAGCTGCTAAAACACAACATCAACTGAATGACYTTATTTACAATTATCTGTGAACTCCAGTCTAATTCTCTAATCTTCATTCGTCAAGTTGACGGAATTTTGTTCTTGCTATCGTAACCATTATATGTTGAATAACATAGAAATGCCAACTTATTTATTGTTTATCTTTATAATTTTTTCGTCTCACCTGTATTTTCGAGGTTGACATTGTCACGTGATCTTCTAATTCGCTCTGCGAGTGCTGAAAATATTGCCAAAAAAATTAAAAGAGTTTGTATTTTATTAGACATCATTGCATGGGTAGTTTAAAAAAATGAAAACTTCGCAGGCATATGGTGAAGTAGTACATTCTGGAGCGTGCGCTGACAAGTGAAATAAAGCATGCTCAGTTGGACCAATCAGAGCGCGCGCGTAAGATCAGTCTATAAAGMGTATATAAATTAAGCACCAACCTTGACGAGGGTTGTTAAATCTGAACACATGATTGCTTCCAAGAATAATACGATCTCCTAAAACAATGACAGCAATATTGTYAAACAAGCACTTATTAGCGTGGGATCCATTTGGTTCAAATATTTCTGGCCTATTTTACTTTAATTAATACTGTGTTTTTAAAGCATCCAAATATGGCCGACATTGGTGCAATTTACCTCTTCCAAATAAGGAAATAATGCTAAATATGAACATAAATGAATAAGTAATAGCCAATCATGATCCTTTGCACATAAACAGTGGCCTTCAAAGCGAATTAAAAAAAAATCAAAAATAGCATTAATGTGAAGATAATACTACAATTGTAGCTTGACAAGGCACCACAAGACGTAGGCTTTTTACAAAAAAAGGTTTTATCATTAAATTATCGTGTTTAAATATGATGTCTTAATATTAACGAGCGTTATCCAGATGTAATTATTCTCTGTAGAGAAAATAAAACGAACTTTTTAGAATATATCTTATACCTTGATACCTAAATTAACGTATTACAGCCGAAGGACGATCCTAGATAGAGAAATACGTGACGACCTCACGATTGGACAAGGCGTGCCTCTTCACATGACGATCAATAGATGAAGCGATAAAAGTCTGCGAAAACGTCGGAAAAGAACTTTTTTCTCCCGACTCGTATCAACTAAAAATGCTTTTTTGACTCGTTGTCAGTGTAGTAATACATATAGATTGAACTAAGATAACAAAAATATTAAAAGAGTTCAACACCTGTGCTGTTTTGTATAACAAAGCAAGCGATYCAAAAAGCAATTACATGAGTATGTGAAGACAAGCAACAAGAAAAGAMGTTAATAAGCAACAAAGATTCCTGGTTTTTGTGTTGCAACTGGTTCATTCTCAATGATTTTCACTTGCGCGCAATAAGGCGCGGTGTTTTCCTTAAGGCAAAGTTAGTAATTTCTAACTATGCTCGAGAGTCGAGGATAATAAAGTTACAGTAGTCCTGGAGAACGTTTCATTGTGCTTTTCTAAACGAAGAATTCAAACAAAATATTTAGTTCTATTGCATGAAGCAATGGAACACTGCAATAATAATGAGTTTTCGGACCTTAAATTACTAGTCCATTTTATATTATCAAGTTGGCTTATATTTGTTTGAACTAGCTCGTATGTAATATCAAAAGTTTGACATCTTTAATATGGACATTTAAATATCTACCGTCATACATCTACGTACAACGGTTTTTAGAGCACGTTTTGTGTACACTTTTCATTGTGTAATTTCCGTCGTCATCGGGGCTGTTTAATGCACCACCTGCAGACACAGCCAGTACTAGCACAGAAATCAACTGTATTAACGACTTTCCTATCTGAACYGCAGTACTCGCCGTCTCTGTTAATAATGCCGATTTTACAAAGCCCCTAGTTTACGACCCTAACGTGAAATAAGAAATAAGAATCAATTAGTTGAAAAGCAAACTACATACTAATGGATTAACGTCTATCTCACAAATCCAATGTTACAATAAACAGCTAGATTAGTAAATAATAAGACACAACTGGTTGCCTTGGGGATTGATTACCTTCAGAAGGCAAATTGAAATTTGTAGATGGAATCGAGAGACAAGCGGAAAAAGAAAATCATTAAGAAACGTGGCAATAATAGATAATATCAGAATTATCGTAGAAAAAGCAAACGGTAAACAAAAATAGACGAAAATGACAAAAATARAAAAAAAATCAATAGAGAGAAACGTAGGTAAGGATAAAAGCGGAAAGGGAAATGACAAGAATTATTATTATTAGAAGGAAAAATATCAAAAATGAGGAAAGGGATACATAAAGGAAAGGAAGGAAGGAAAAAAGATGGGAAAAGGAAGAGAAATAGAAAAGGAAATCATAAAATAATAGCATTAGTTGACGTCTYTCTAGGTAAGTTGATTTGAAATTGAAAAAAACAGATGTCACCAATTAGCGAATAGCATCATACAATTGACATTTATTAAAATTAAAACTTTTCAATGTCAGAACTCAATATCAGCATTTCAAAAACATATGGATGCAAAATGAAACAGTTGTTAAGACTATGTCTTTAAATACTGAAAATGATTTACAATGAGAATGARAAGAAAGAATGAGAATTAAAATAAGCACACGAATCAAGACTAACAATAGTGAAATACGAATWATGTGAAATAAGAAATATGAATAATAAAACAATAAAACGGAAAAACAATGTGTACCCCCTAAAGGCAAGGAACTTCAATTGTGAAAATSACAATTGAACTTTTCAAAGTRAGTATATATTTCGGATCTAAAAATTATTATTATCAAAAATAATCACGAAATGTAAAATTGGTCMAAAAAAGGTAGATCTTATGAGTAATAAAAGCTCTCAAATCTTGAACAAATAGTAACGGCTTAAAACGAACATTATGCATTCAAAGTATTGGTTTAAGGATTCAAGAGGCCTGTCTCKAGGAAGAATTATTTCCTCGTTTGTATCAGCGAGGATATTTTAGTGTGATGCAATTATTGACGAAACAGAAGTCATRCACTTTGAAAAGTACGTAATGATAACTTTTTGTAAAACTACCATTATCGTCATCAACGTTAGAGTGATCTTTTGACGAAATGAAAACATAGTGAGAATTGTAGTTTGTAGTTAACTTCGCGCTAGTTCTCTTCGTTTGCCCTATTTATTAGTTCAAACTGCTAGGGTAGCGTTCATCTCTTCTGGGATGGGGAAAATCACGCATTTTTAGAAAGCATCKGTATCAATATTATCATTATCATTAACAAACCAGAGACAAAAAGCAACTTCCCAGTCGACTGTATTCAGTATTACAGCAATTGACAGAACTTCTATTAATCTTCTGACTTTTAAAGTATTATCAAACACTGTCTTCTTATCTAACATTAGCATAACACCTTGCCCGACGTAGTGTTCTAGAAATTACGTCATTAATATGTATATAATACCCCTAACAACAAAGTAGCAATTCAGTGCTTTCAATACTTAGGGAGAATCAATTCAAAATGAACAACTCCACTCAGGACTGCTCTGATAGCCTTCAATATTCGTCCTTGTTTATCGTACTTGCGTCTGTAAGTACCGTTTCTGGTGCAATTTGTGTCTTTGGAAACTCTATAGTTTTATGGACGATTTATARGACAAAACGACTTCGCTGCGTGTCATATTATCTCATTGCTTCCCTTGCACTGGCAGATGACATGGTGGGCATTGTTCTTAACCCAATGTTAACAGTTAGGATTATACTTTATAGCTATTTACAGTACAGTATCGATTTGCCAAAAACCCTAGACATCGCGGAGGATTTTCTCTGGATTCAAGGACTACTTGTATCAACTTTTAGTCTCGCTGCAATCAGTATTGATCGACTTGTAGCCATTAGGAAAAGTCTTCATTACAAAGCCATYATGACAACAGAACGATGTCGAATCATGATGATATTCACATGGACCRCACCGACGTTCATCGCCTGTTTTCGCATTTTTTTAMAGTCTGAGGATCACAAATGGCTTTGGTTATCGACAATAATACTAGCTGTCTGTTTTCCTCTCAGTATAACTACTGTCAGTCACTTGAAGATATTCAGATCAGCTCAAAAGCAAGCCAGACGACATGATGCAGAAAATATCAAAAATACTAAAGCAGCTAGTACAATGGCGATAATAATTGGTGTGTTTAGCGTCACGTATTTCCCTTGTATTGTTATCGCTTGCATCCATGCATTCAAAAAGATGAATCATTGTGATTTGCTAAGACTTCGTACTACAGCCTGGCCATGGGCATCGTGTATTGCMTATGCAAGCAGTGCAGTRAATCCTTGGATATATTCCATGCGAATAAGCGCTTTCAGACACGCAAGCAAGAAAGCCTTYGGCCGRGACTCAAAAAGAAACGAATTTGGACTCAAATGACTTTTAACTTTTCTGTCTTTGTCTTGTCTGTGATTACCCCCAGTTCAAAATGAATTSAAAAATCTTTTCTATARCCAGTCCCCTTAAAAATATTTCTCTTTTTTGATTTAATAAAAATAAAGATCACAATGAATAAATGTATTCAAAAAGARCAGTTTGATTATATTTTGGAGGTTTAATAAATCAAATATTRATTACTTGTTGACAAACGTTATCTSAACTAAGCAACACTAATAATAAAACAAATTGGTTCGTGGTTCGTGAAACTGAATGAATTAAGAAATGAACGAATGGAAATTTGAATGAAGAGATAATTTTAAGGATGAATGCATCCAAATATAACAATTAGCTGCAGACATTAATGACTGAATAACATAAAAATAAATTCGTTAAAAAAATAGCGCCAATATGACGTCGAAGGCAATACAGAACTATTTCCGCAAAATTAGTACCTAATTTGTTCTCAGTAGTAGCCGGCACGCAACCAGCGGCTTTATACTCCRACAAATTATTTATGTAAAAGATCGATGAACAAATGTTTTATGCAAAACGTCCTCGATTTATGAATCGTGAATTTTCAAACCTTCAGATGGATTCTCTTACCTGATTTTAATATTGTTAGTTCGGATATCAGTCGTCCATTTACAAAAGTTCGGCTACTTTCACAKGGTGTCATTTTCACAACATCTAAAAAAGATGATTGATCAATCAAGACTGAAGGCAAGAACGCCAKATAGCGAGAATGGAAATCGCTCTAAGACACTTTATAAAATCTTTTAAGGGATTTTAAGGGTTTTTTTAAGATTTTAAGGGTTTTAAAAACCCTTCATCCTTGGAGGAGTTATTTTATTATTCATAAACTCAAAATATTTTAATTTATACTTGGGTTTTCTATCCCGTCTATTTTTTTCATAATTGCTTAGTACTAGCTCACAACCGACAAGAGATCAAAACAAGRGCAAGAAATGAGTGGCGTCCTACTTCAATAAAGCTATCACAGTCTTAATGTTGACTTACTATCWGTGTTCTCAAGAACACAGTGTTCATCTAAGATATGAGTACCACTAAGTTGGATGTCTTGATGGCTTTGGGCATGCGCACTTCCTACCCTATAAACCACCAATAAGAATGAGAGAGAAGCAATATTGCGCGTTGTCATTGGTCCAAAAGCACGCTTTATTTAGGCGGTGTGCGCATGTTCTCGAATGGCGGTATATTTTCATATTATAAATGAATTGGAGTAGATTGGAGTGGTTTTTAATGAAATAAAGTAAAGAGTTTGGGAATCTTGGACGCTACGCCTTGCCACGCCTCTCTGACTTGTACATGCCCATATCAGATWAATATTCTCATAGCACGGATTGAAAGAAAATGGTTATCTATGCTACTTTTCCAGAGATCAATATCATTCAAGTAATTACATGTAGGACTGTCTAGCAGTCTTACTGTACCTCGTAATGCCATCTTTAATATAATATAGCAGACATTCAGACATCAAAGGATCTTCGTTAAGGTTGACCAAATGYGGTCTCTGCAAGAAAAGGGTAACATATCTTGATTTAAAGTTATTTGATTTAAAAGAATTTTGGATACTCGGGGATTTTTGAGTAGGGACCGGAGAATAAAGGGGGAGCGGGTATTCGATGATGATTTCTTCAATAAATACACTACCTTTTTCGGCTGAAACAGTCCAACAGTGTGTCCATCGACACCAATTGCCACACCCATCTCGACRAGCATTGCCTCCCTAAACGACAAAACACGAAATGCATTAACTAAACATCAACCTCTTCACTACACAGGGATACCGACACGAAAAAAGATTCAGAAGACTAGAACCCAAACTTCTTAATTTAAACCAGTACCTCTCTTGTTTTATGGCTTCCGTTTTCCGCAGTTTTTCTTCCCAAGTTTCGTTCAGCTCCGCAATGAGTTTTTCGGAGGCCTGGTGACAACAAACAATCACAAATAAAAGTCGATTGATTTGATTCCATAACGATTCAAAATACGAGTTATACGACCCAAAAGACCAGTGTGATTTTATTCAATACAGATTGAATAGCGCGAAGGAAATAACTACTTTTTTACTCGTACTCGCGAGTATAGGAAGCCTTAATATAGTCCAGTACTGTAAAAACACAATGGACTTCCGCACATTTTGATAGTTTGTTACCTGAAGTCTTTCTATTGTCCCAAACTCTTCACTTGTTCGACGAGAAGGACCAGGCTTGACCACTAAAACAAAATCAAACAATTTTAATTGTTAAACGACTTCAATATTAGTAAACGGTGCATAAAACGATGGGTACTCGGTGTATTGTTAGCTTTAATATAAGGAGTACCACAACAATGAAATCATGGGAGTAGAGTTATTAGCATTCTCCAAAGGCGCAGCTTAACCATCTCTAAAACTTACAGTCAAGGTGATTTACATCGTAGCCCTCCAAGACGAGAATTTCCTTTAATCGWGCCACTTCTTCTTTGAGTTCGCGTATAATCTAGAAAATGGGGATTTGTAACTATCGTTAGAGAAAACATGAAAATATAATACTGCGAAACGGACGAAATACGACGAAACGTTACAAACATTTCAAAACGTATCGAAATACGACAAACTGTGCAATTATATACTACTATAAAATGCAAAATACTATGCGAAACATGCAAAATGCTAYMAAACGAATGAATATACTCAGTACACTACAAACGAAATAGTACGAAACGTGMAAAATTCTACGAAACACTCCAAATTCTACAAMATGACATACCTTTGCATTAGGATCTTCGTTAATAACAGCTTTACARACTATTTGCTTTGCTCGATCGGCATACCTATGGAGAGACCAAGAAACGTTAATTTTACAAGGTGTAAGCGAGACTTAAGCAACTCGAAATGTCCCAAGAGACTTTGTATAARAGTACAGATTAACTCAACATGYTTGCGTTCTGATCTATAATGCTTTTGGAATATCTTTGAGCACAAATCATCATACCTTAACGTACTCAGAGTTTCATCAAAGTTGATATCTGCAGGGCTTATAGCAGCAATCATTGTAGTCTTTGAGTTGCCACCTAAAATCACCCAAAAACTGTTAGAAACAAACTTGAAAACATTACCAACTAAAACTAAAACGACTTACCAAGATTTTCCTTCAATAACCAAGTCAAGATGGAATCTCGATAAGGAATGAATTCAGATCTTCTCTTCTTTTTATGGTGGGAAGACTATTAAAGTACGTAATCAAGCAATGGATGAATAGGAAGATAAGATAAGAAACTAAGACAGTAATATGTCTTGCGTACTCGTGCAATTAGGAACATCGTTCCATTCTGGGTGAAAATCAAGGTGGTATACCTGTTCAGCCAGAGCGGATATGACTTTGCCTAACGTAGTAAGCGATTTGTTGATGTTGGCACCCTCCTGACATGTAACAAAGCAGTGTTCGCTATTAAACTTGTTTATTTTTAATTTTTTCACTTTTTATCTATTTCTTTTTCATCTCAAAAAATAATAACTTTAAATCTGCCGTTAAACTTAATATCTTTCATTCGAATTTATTCCTCTCATTTCATCTTATTCTGAGATTTGTTTTCATAAATATTTCAAATTTCATTTCATTTCAAACGATAGAGTTAACTCAAATTTGATTTTTATCTCCCATTTCATTCTATTCTCATATCTCGTTTCCCATCATTTCAATATATTCTTAAGTCAGTTTATGAATTCATTTTTCTCTTGGTTTCAGCACCTTTAACCTTTCTCCAGTGTTCCCAGTAGAGTCTGCTCTTTCACTTCCAGCGAGATCAACCAGGCTTAGTTTACTGACCTGAAAAWGATGATATAGTTAAACATATATTCACTATTCTCTTGTTCTTCAATAATCTTTCTACCTTTTCTGTTGTAAGCTTGCTGAGATCATCATATCTGAGGTAAAAAAGGAATTGAATAAGATACACTTATTTACAAAAACCTTGTCATAGACTAATAATGCAATAGGAATACGCTCATACAGAACTAGTACCTTAAAAAGACTAAAGAAAACAACTAGGGCTGAACACTTTTCAAAGACGAGTGAAGGTATCCTTTATTCCCTGATGATGCTGTAGTACAGCGAAAGCTTGGATTCACAATATACATTTTCAACATCATAGCAGCCTTGGCTACATTTGTATACATTCTTTTACTTTTCAAAGAATGTTTATGCATCCCTTTTGAAATAAAGTACAAAATGATCTCTACCTTTAAGTTTTTGCTCCATTTATATATTGTATGCTCCATTTATATTCATTTATACATTTTATTCCCATTCATTCATTACATCTTATGCTACTCACTTCCTCTGCGTAAATATAATGCTAAATATAGCATGTGATCTACTGCTGGTTTCATTCATGTTGGTAGCTGCAACAGTTCTGTTAAGAGACAAGCATAATGTCAATAATATGTAGCTGCAACAGTTAAGAGCAGTGACTGCAAAGCGGTCAAATATGTGGGGGGGCCGGTGAGTGCAGAAGGCACGATTTTTATAGGGGGGTCTGGAGGCATGCGAAGTTGACTCTTTAACGTTTCCAACTTGATGCCGTCATAGTATAGTCAAGCTCTGATCATCGATTTTTTGTATAATTATTTTATTTTAATCTTACTGATTTCATTTATTATTAATTCCCCCCCCAGTCCCCCCCCCGTCTCCGTGGCCCCTGAAGATGAAAAGATGATGAATGGATGATGGCATTGTATTGAGAGATGGATAACCAAAAGTGTGAATTAAAAAAAATGKGTGAAAAAATAAAATGTGAATGAGTAAAGGATGGATATGATTGTGGACGGAAGGAAGGATGAATGAACATGGTTGCAAGTGTTTGGATGACTACCTGGCTTTATTTCCTTCGTCTATGAGGTCATTGATATCAGCAAACGATGTGACAGCAAGCTTTGTTAGGTCTTCAACATATGGGCCAAGCACAGGGTGCTCTCTAAGTAATATAAACAATCACACATTGCAAACTTTTTTTCATTATATATGAACAAGTTTAGAGCGGATTTCGTATGAGTGGGAAACGGACGGTCCTGTACTGTGACCGTAATCGTACTGTAACCAAATTCTAGTGCCCCATTGGTTCACCAAAATTTTGCAGGCCAGGTCCGGTAACTGTGCGGTAACCGTGCGGTAACGGTGTCCCACTCATACGAAATCCGCTCTAGGTCTTTGAGTGTTATTGATTAAGTCATAAGTAGCTGATACAAGCCATTGTGAAAACATTTTTTTTTTTAAATTGACTTGAAAGGTATGACTGGAAATATACCTCACTCTAAGATTATTCTTTGCTGTTGGACTCAACAAATCTCTTACTCTTTCACAGTAGATCTCCAAATAGCTCACCTGCATTAGACAGAAGACTAGGATGAAATTCAATACTAAACTTTTAAATTCTAAGTACTGGAACCATCACATTTAAAATATAATAATTGAATATTGACAAACCTCTACTGAAAAAGTTAATTCATCATTTGTTCCTTCTTCAACTTTTTGAAAGAGTTCTTCACAAAGCTAATAAATAAAATTCAATATTACATTTAGCAATTACAGGCCACTTTGAGAAGAGGGCCTTTCTCTCACCATCCACAGGGATCCCAAGATTAACACATCCACATACCTGAGGTATAATGCCCTTTTGGTCTGATTCCTGTTTTCCCATCATTGTGTAAGATTTACCAGATCCAGTTTGACCATAGGCAAAAATACAGATATTATATCTATAATGAAACATTATCAAAGTGGAAGTCAATTGAATGAAAATTGGGATGGTCCATGGTTGCAATCTGTTATTGACAGACATACGTGTACTCTAATAACCAATCAGTATGCAATAATTCATTCAAGTGTGGTAAAAAGTAGGTTATTACCCTTCAAATGCATGCTGAAGCATGTCTCTACCAACGTCACTGTAAACTTGCTTCTGACTAGCAAAATGACCATCACCCTGGCAAATGATAAGATTGATAATATACTGACATATCATCAGAGCTAATAGTTTCATTGTAGCTGTTTTTGGGATGGGCTCCCTGTCCCCAGCCAAAACTGCTATGAGGCTACAAAGCTATAAACTAAATAGACCTTTTCTGAAATACAAAATCATGATGCATTGTGGTCTAGCTTCATCACGAACATCGCCATATTTTGTCACTAACATAAGATGATTGTACTGAATCTAGACCACAAAGAAATGCATCATGTTACATCAGAAGTGCCTAGTGGCTATAAGAATTGTAGTCTATAGATTGCAGTACAACCATTGCAGCCCTCTTTATTGCCTTTATAGTTACGATTACTAATTGTGGATATAGCTCTGACACTAGAAATTATCTGCCTTAACATATGCATTGTTAGCATTTCTCAAAGATAGAAGGTCATGGTTATATTTTTCATGAGCTGAAACACTACCATACACATAATATCATAATTAGAATTTGCCTTCGCAGCACAATTACATTAAAACAGTTATATCAACTCACCTGGTTATGTGACCAGTAGGAATAGTCAAAGGTGAAATTTTTGGGCTTTTCACTCAAGTTCTTTGGGTTAAGAATGGCTGACGATATCAGAAACAAAACACAAATTATAAGTGAATTTGAAATCCTGGCCCCCATCCCCTGGTGGTAGCTTTGGCTTTCCCAAGGGGAAGGGATAGGGGAAGGGCATGATCTAATCTGAAATATGCATTGATATATTAAGCAACAGTTTTATTGCCACGATGACATTTTGCGACATTAAAGAAAACAAACTTAAGGAGAAGAAACATTTATTTAGTAAGCCTATATTCATACAGCACACTAGCTACGTAAGTTTTCATGACACTTAAGCTTAATTCTTAGCTTAAATGCAGAGAGAAATATTAACCTCAAAATTCATTGTTGTTCATTTGGTTAAGAGCTTTTATAACCCACACTGCTTCGAGCTGTCTAAACCACAATAACAGAATAAAATGTACAATGAACACGCCTGACAATACTCACTCGTAGAGGAACCATGCATTCCTATAATACACTTGCACTTTCGATTTAATTCTCTGTTGTTGAAAGGCCTCACACGAACACAGACTTTTACAGAAGACATCTTGAATTCGTAAAGTGCCTTTAGGCATGAAACTGCTTTCCATAACGTAGTAAAAATATCTTACTCCAGTACGAGTCGACGACCGGTGTTTTTGAAGTCATTCATTTCGATGTTTAAGTCATCATGGCTAAAAATCATAACAATGTTTGGATTCGTATCTACTTCAAAAACCCTCAATGAATTCTCGTGGAATATGATAAATGAAAACAGGCCAGATGCAGCAGTTCAAACATAAAATGGAAATGCAGTCACAACATCATGAATTTCCCTCCGGTGAACTAAGATCACGTGAGTTGGTGGAAAAGACCGGAAGTTCAAGTTCAGATGGACTTCCGGTTGAAAAATAGTACTTTCTCTTGCCAAATTTGGCTTCGTTTTACGCCAAAAAAAAGAAAAGCAAAATTTTGACAGTCTTGACGGAATGACCTTTTACTACTAATCCCACATACAATTTTATTAAAAATACAAGTAATCTTAGACAATGCAAATGGAATAACATTTTATTAATGTTTACACAAAAGCAAATTGAACATTTCTGATTTAGCGACATAGGAACACTTATAAGATAAATCAATCAATCTTATGTCACTGATAAAATTTCAAGTCCAGTGTTTTTGTCTTCCTCCTGTGAAAACACAAATAACATTGAAGCATTTAGATTAAATATGAGAAGGTTTATTATCAATAGATGTGTACGTATGGGACCATTACCTTGGTATAATGAATGCATGTCAAGTTCATCTAATTGTTGTCCAGCAAGACTTTTATCTTCAAGTTCCATTTGCTTAAAAAATCATTGAATAGAAGTTTAATATTCAACAAAAATAAAATGTGGCTAATTCATTATATTTGGAAGAAGTCTTGTTCTTTAACCTTTTCACTTGACCTTTCAAATTGAGCTCTACCTAACATACTACAATATCATGACTATTTTACACCTACCTTGAGTATACACTTTTTGAGTTCTCCACATTGACACAAAGAACATTTACGGATGTTGTCATCCACCTAAAATAAACATTACATCATACAGCTTCAAAAATCAGAGACAACACTTTGCACTGCATTCAGAAAGATTTTATGTAAAAAATCCACTTACATCTTTCATGGTTTTTGATAGTTTCTCCTTCACAAATGACATTGATGTCCAAATTGCTCTTTGAAGCAAAAACCTAAAATTTGCCGATAATACATTTAGTAAATTTCCCAGATAATACATGTATACAATTTTTTGCTGCGCAAGGGAAAGAAAGGTAATATTTCGGTCATTTTAGTAGAGGCTTGGGGGTGGGTAGGAATTGTATTTCTTTGGACTTCCTGTGTTAGATTCAGTAAGAGGGCACAACTATGGAAAAGCAAGATACCTGAAGATGAGGTTAACATCTCCTTTCAATTTATTAAATAAAAAACTTACAGTACTTAGAGCTTTTGATTTTATTGTATGGCTAAAGGACAAATGCCTGATTGCATCTACATGTATACCTGTGTTTGAAATAACATTGGCCTGTACACAGCCTCATTAAACAGCAATTACCTTGTCCTCAACAAGCAAAAGAATGCTAACATTGATAACCCACACTGTTTTCCATCCTTTGAAGCTCCATATACATCATGGAACCCATGGTTTGAATCCTTCGTTATTGTCATATTAAAACTACAACCATCACCATCCTCTTCTCCTACAACAAGATATGGAACTTCATTGTTGTCCTGCGTTCTTGTTTTGCCATCTGAATCACTATATTTTGAAGACAATGACTTGCAATTTGCTGTAGTGTTTGAAATTGTATCTACAGTTGTATCAGAGCTAAGTTCTTCTTTTAGATTATTCACTTCACTGGCCAATTTTGATGAAACCCTTGTTTGAGAAGATAAAACACTCTGGCTTGAATGCAATGCCTCTTTATGTCGATCTATTGATGGCTTTGTTAACATTTTATCATAAATAGGATGATTAAATCCATTTTTATCTTTCTCAACTTGTAATTTTTCTGACAATAATTTATTCAAAGCTCCTTTTGAACTTTCAGCAGCGAAACTAAATCCCTCTAAGCAAGTAGACATTTCTTGAAGTGTCATTTTTCCCATCAGTTCTTCTGGCATGTATTCCACCTTTTGCTTTGGAAATAAATTGTTTTCATTCCCCACTGACCCCTTGCTTACTTGATTTGAGATTTCTTGGGTGACAATCATGTCATTATCATCATCTTTCAAAAATGTTTTATCCAAAAAATTCATTGTATCTGTGCATTTGCAATGTTGACAGTTTATAAGCAATCTCAAGCACTCCTTGTAACTCTTTGTTGTATTTGACTGCAAAATAGCATCTATTGTGTGCATTTCATCAACATGAGAATTGTTCACTTTGTTATTTGTGGTCACAACATGTGCTTTGTTGTAAGCTTTTGCCAAGGAGTACCAGAAATTGTGGTTGTAGGAATGAAGAGAAATGCATCTCTTGTAACAAGTGATTTCACCTGTTGATACAAGAAATAATCAATTCACAAATTGTTATTATGAATTAAGTACAATGTGGATGAATGCCTAGAGAAAAAAAAATAAGGGTGTGATGGAACAAATGGATGGAATGATGGGTAAAAATAATTAATGAAAAAATAATGAGTTATGCAGTAATGTACCTTGGATGTGGCTGATAGCAGAGCATATTTCAGCAAGCAAAAGGAACAATGAAGTATCCTCACCTTGCTTTTTTATCTACACAAAAAAAAAGTTTAAAATAAGTATTATACAAAGGCTGGATATACACACTCACTGCTGTGACAGAGGTATATATCCTGCTATCCTGGCAACATGCATGTACGGGCATTAAAATTTGTCGTACCAAATTATCTAAGGAAACTAAAGCTAAAGAAACATTCCCTAGCTTAAGATAACAACGGATGATAGATTCATCGACATCCCTCTCCACTGTAGTTGACTTGACTTGTGGATTTTTATGGATTGTTAGGTAAGCTTCGAGTGATTTGGTATAGCTTCCTGACCGATACCAATAGTCTGCCTGGAATTTTGTGATATTTTGTTTTTGTATGTCATCTTGAGGAGTATGGTTCTTGAAAAAGTACTAAAGATCAAAAAGGATGAAAGGATAAGCTTATTATTATCAAAGTTATAATATTAGCTTTTGAGGGAAAATCTACAGATCCAGTGCCTGAAATAGCGGCAAGACAATACCTGTTTTTCACAAACTTTTACATTGTATGGCTTCTGCTTCGGTCTTTTTGGTTTCTCTTCTTTACTCTCAAAAAGTTCATCGTCCCATGAAAGTCCCAATTCCATTTAAAAAACTAAAAAATAATCTTAGAACTCTCAAAAGCCAGTTCGTCCGCCATCTTTATTTGCCTCGTTCCAATGCTTTGAGGTGTAACCGCTGACTTAGGCGCGAAATTCAGAAAGAAAACGTTTGTTTATTTCTACATGAGATTTTCCATGTTTTTATGACTTTTTAAAAGCTTTTTATATATAATCAGCCATGAAGAGAAACTTCCCAAGAGCGAAGCAGAAAGCCATCATAAAGAAGTTTCAAAAGAAAGCAAGATTAGCTAAAAGTACAGATATCTTGGTAAGCGAATAGAACTTAACTTACTCCAAGTCGTTTTAATTTTTATAGAAGCTTATCGCCATCATATCGAGCTGATCGAGCTGATTTTTCGTTCAGATTTTCTTAGATTATATGATGTTTCTACGAAAACTTGCAATTGAATCAAGCACCAAAGCTACAGAACAGAAAAGTAAAGCTATCCAAGCAGATCACGTTAAAGATGTTCTAAAGGTAAACTTTTATATCATCACCTCTTACTATGAAAAGCTGTCTAAAGATTTATTATTAGTAGGGTATGTTCACTAATTATACACATAATTTAATTAATAAGCTTAATATTTTGGGCTCAAGAAAAGTTATATCACCACTGAATATCCAACTCAAAGATCACTTCTGAAGACATAAAACTGGCTATGATATTTATCATTTATTTTCAAACCAGTGTCTGGAATGAGAAGTCATGTGATCAAATTTCTAAATACCCCAAATCCCCTGTGGTCTTTCCTTGATGATGTCACCATTATCAGCTCAATAACTTTTTCATCTTATGTTTATTTATTTTTATTAGACTATGTGCAAATTGTTTTTGTTTATTTAATTTATCTGCAGAGTACACTGAAGAAATGCCGTGGATAGCTGATAAGCAATGCTGTATGTTGGATATATCAATCTAAATTAAATTCAACAGCAATGAACAACTTAATATTTAATTTTATTATTTGGAAAATTTAATCTAGATCACCTGGGTATTTTCTGTACAATTCTAAAAGCACCTCTTTTTCAGTTCATTTGTAATATTAGACAGGACATTGTAGATTTAGGAATTCAAATTATTTTACAGTCAAACCTCTATTAAAGCGGTTACCCTCTATTAAGAGGTCACCTAGCGGATTTCGTATGAGTGGGAAACGGACGGTACTGTACTGTGTCCGTAATCGTACTGTAACYRAWTTCTAGTGCCCCATTGTTTCACCAAAATTCTGCAGGCCAGGTGCGGTAACCGTGCGGTAACGGTGCGGTAACCGTGCGGTAACGGTGTCCCACTCATACGAAATCCGCTATTAACTTCCCTAAATTTGACTCTAACATTTACTGTATTTATTTCACGCGGTCACCCTTTTGACTTTCCCAACTGTGCATTTTCATTGTTATTTGCCTTCATATTTAAACGGTCACCTCTTGTAATCAGGATTAAAATCAGCTGAGTGAACGTGAAAAATATCACGAAAACATGAAATAAAAAATGGTCAGTTTACATTGTAATTCTGTAGTTGCATTAACTAGAGAAGGCGTCGAATTCTTCTGTACTTACTGTGTACAGTATATTTATTTTATAAACTAAAATTATCAACCTCGTATTTAGCGTTTATATTCCTTAAAACTACATTACGTGATGAGTTTCGTATTTTTTTAGCATTTTTTGCCACGTAAAAAGCTTAATTATAGGCAACCGTACCTCTATTAATTGGTCACTTGGTTTTTGCCGAGGGTGACCGCTTAAAAGAGGTTCGACTGTAATTAACAATTTAAAATTTGAAATTTTTCTTCCAAGCATTTTATTGTTGCCTATAGTAAGGTGTTATTTTTCTAATTTCTGCATTTTCCTTCCATTTCGTAAAAACGAGTCTTGTTCATTACTTGAGAACTAGCTATTCACCCCCTTGGTTGATATTTATATAATTATATATATTAAGCTCCATTGATCTGTCAAAATACAACTGTTCCGCTGAATGTTTACTCAGTAATTTGCCAAAAGTATACGTTTCTAGAAGACGCAAAACGCAGCTGATTTCTCGTTGTAGACCTTACCAGCATCTCGACTATCTTCAAGTCAACATAGACGATTCAAATGTCCAAGATATATCCCCTGTTTTTGATATTGCTTTTAAGAGCTGTTATGGCTATAGATGGACATCAAGGTACGTTTCAAAGACACAATGGCATATCGGTTTTTCATTGTCACTTGGGACTAAACTGAATTGATAACGAAATTTGAGTGTAAATTTTTGGTTAAGATTTCAGCGAGAAAATTCTCAAAACTTCGAAAAGGCCTTCTAATCATTTTGCTTCCTTGAATTCTTAGTAATTTTTTCTTTGTCTGATTGTTTCCTGATTATTTTTCCCGAAAGAAAATCAGCTTGCACACGAGATACTGGCAAACTTCCCATTTCGTCCTTTTATACGAAATTTGACTGTTCTAGTAAATTAAATGCTGCTTAAATGCGACTTAGAAAGCTGAATCATTTTTAGCCAAAGCATTCTTTTAGTTGACGACAAATATTTAACGAAATTGCCGTCTTAGCATCTTGTTTTTTCTGATGTAGTTTCTAAATAGCTCACAAAACTGATTACTTAATAAAATCCTTGAATTCGATTTCAGGACTTAGAAACTTCTGGTATTTGCGTTCAATATTCATTCATAGTGGCAAAAAATACATATCTTTATCCTAGACACTGATATTATTATTATCATAGATTATATCATCATTCAGTATTGGTACAATTGCTATCATGATAATCTTTATGATCATAATTGTTAATTTTCGTCGATCGTCATATTCAATACTCGCTGCATTGCCTAAAAAAGTTTGAGCCATTGAGTTTCCAGGTACTTATATCTGGACTAATCCCATTCAAAAGTCATATAATCCCATAGGTTCTGTTCAAGTTGTCAATTCCCATTCCCAGTTTCTATTCTTGTATTTGCAGTAAATCCCACCCATTTTATTTGAGTGCATTCAAACGCATTTTCCCACTCAAAAATAGGGTAATTTTAGCCCCGTTTTACCCTATATATCCAATGATTAAAATAATCCCAACGTTCTATAAACGTCCTGTTTTTAACGTAACTCCAGTTCACCTGCTATGCACTCAAAGTMAACGGTTGACAGGTGTCAGAAGTGKCAGTTTTTGYTCAAACAAAGTGGGCCATGTACTTAAATCGAAGTGATAGTAACTGAGTCTATATTAAAACGAAAATAGCAGACAAATCATCTTAACGCCCCTGGGTTAATTTTGAAAAGCTATGCCGCTATTGGGTAACAACTAAGCATGTGTTATTCCCAAAGAGACGAGTTTTAACTTTCCTAATACAATAAGACAAAGATTATTTGTCAAATAAAGGAGAATTAAGTCAAATACAGTAAGCGACACCGTATTATAATGAAAATGAACTTTTCTTATTGAAGGAAAGCTTTCCGAGATGAATGAACGTACCAAAGCTGGAACTCATCCATACAAAATCACACTTGTCTTAATTTTTATAAAACAAGAAACATTGTTCAACATATATAACTTATTTAATTGTTTACATTATTAACTTTGTATTTCAATTTATTTCTGTTTGTGTATTGAGTTATAAACCTAACATGCATTATGTGATTTTGAAATTTTATTTTACAAATAAACATTTATATCTTTTTTCATAAATTTTTATAACTATTTTTATAGATTGTGTAAAGCGCATCAGAACTTCATTGATATTTTGCGCTATATAAATACTATTTATTATTATTATTATATTATTATTATTTTCACGGACCGTGCGGTGGATGACGGACCGGCGGTGCTCCCTCCCCAATTGAATTACAAGATGAATAACAACTGATATTCAATTTCAGAGGCCGACAATGCTCGCAATATCACCTTTTTGGCACCAGTCTCCGACTTCCATCTGGTTGGTCACGTGATAGCCAACAGAACAGTAGATACTCCGGATCAGTGTCAGATTGAATGTTTTTTCATTGCTGAATGTACCTCCCTGAATTTCGACACCAGTCCTCGCGCATCACCAAACTGTCAACTKAGCGCWTCTAATAAARAGATTAAATTGGGAGATTTGACGCCAAAGCCTGGTTACATTTACCAAGGTAGCAAGGTATGATGGGCAATAAAAGATTTGGTTTTATGCTATACTTTTTTTCTAAACTGCTTCTTTACATGAGATACAGAATTTGCATGTTAAGTAGACAATACAACGTCGTAATAGCTTAATAATAAATTCACGATAATCTACATGAAATGCTTACCAAAAAGTAAACTAAGAAAATTACAAAAAGAAGTCGAATTTTCCTTGTATTTTTTTTACTTTTTTAGAATGACTGCTTTGGAAATCCATGTAATTCACCAAACCATACATGTCAGTCAGGTTTTGGACCTCGTGGATTTCGCTGTATTTGCGCAAACTGCTTGACCGGAAGCTACTGCGAAAATTGTAAGATTCTTAAACACTAAATCTGTTGTAAAAATGTATTGCAAGTGAATAGTTACTATAACTGATTTACGATATTTTCAGATACTTCAGACACCGTGCTAAATTTTCCAAGGCGGTCTGTTCATCAACATGCTGTCCAGTACGTTGACTTTCCAGACTTGAAAAATTTCACTATTAGCCTATGGCTGCAAATCAATAAAAATGACGGAACAACACACGCAGCCTTTTCCTTTGTTGAAAGCCAAACTAATAGAGATGAAATAAGTTTGCTATTCTATGGATATCCAAATGCAGAAATGTTCAATATTGACTTCCAAGGACAAAGAGTAAGGTAATAAAAACCGTTCTATACGCATCTGTCGAAAACAATCAACGCAACTTTTTAGCACCGTTTATAAGCTTTTCTGCCCGTCCATATTGGTCTTCTTCTTGAATTTATTCATAGCAAGTTGTGTGACTGAAATGATCAAAAAGTTAATTTCATTGCAGGCCCGTAGGCTGACTTACAAATGGGGGAGGGGAGGGGAGGGGGAGTTTCGTTTTTTTCATAATACGGACCTAAATAAATCAAACGTTTAACTAAATTACTTCAATGCAATAAATGTGTAAGAACTGGCTGCTAGAATGAGTAGTTCACCACAAAATACAGTTCATAACAAAAAAATTTTAAAATAGAACAAGAAATCAAGCCGCCAATGGCGACACAACTCGAAGATTTTCAGACAATAAATCTGGACATAAGTCTGTATAAAGCCTCTTACGAAGGATAAAGTTTATATGAATCGATGAGCATTAAATCACTAATCGACGTGGATCGGAATAATCCTTGAAATCATCGTAATAGCAATGCTGTATTTATGACCCATATTCACACGATATCTCCTAAAACGACTTTTGAAATCAACAGATTCTTATACAAGAACTTCCAGACCTCAAAAATCACATTTTGTGTGTTTAAAAAGCCATTACTGTATCAAAACACCTGCCCATCTTGGTTACAGATTTCTAAATGCCCGTATGTTTACAGAAAAAAAATTAGTGACTAATTAACTAGTCCCCCTCACACATCATCTCCCTCATCTCCCTCCTATAACTCTTCGATTGCTTCGCAATCTTCGAGTTAAAAATGAGAAACAACGGACCTTTTAAGCTTTCGTCCGAACCCCCCAGCCTACGGGCCTGCATTGTCAGTTAATTGTCTTCATGTGTTTTCTTAATTGATCCCGGGGTGACGAGGTGTGGGTTAGACCTGGGGGCTGTGAGACGCGAGATGAAAAGGTGGGAAGAAAGAAAGATTGAAGGATTGGTCATGCTTACATATATTTTGTATCCAACTACTGCTAGTCAAAAATACAATGGAACCGACGTACTTGACGGAAACTGGCACCACATTGCCATATCCTCCTCGCTGTCTAAAAAACAAATCAACGTTTACATCGATGGAAAGAAGAAAAGTCCAAAAATTGAAAATGTCTTCAAATACAAACAGTTCGCGGAAGAGATGAGATTCACCTTGGGACAGGAGCAAGATAGCTACGATAATGGAATTTACGAAGATCAAAGTTTTGTAGGAAACATAACAGCTTTCAATATGTGGGACAGATTTTTTCCAGACGATGAAATATCCCCGCTTGCCAAAGAATGCCCTTCTTCACACAGACAAGGCAACTTGTTGAATTGGCCTGACATTGTTCAAAAGAAGAATGACGCTCTCAAGTATTTCTGTGGATTGTCATGTGAAGATTTCGGTCTTGTTAACCAGGATCTTCGTAACCAGGAAAAGACTGCGCATGCGTGTTTTGATAACCAATGAACGCAAAGAATAATGCATCATCGTGAAGGAAATTCTTTCCCTTAATGCATTGCGAGATAGAGAGAATAGGCGGCACGTGAAGAGTGAGATGCCTGTCTTTGAAAGATATATTTCAAGCTGTTGAGAGAAATTTTGACTCTGCCGGGAGGAACGGAAAGAGACTCATAAAACTCGAGTATTGTCAAGAATTTATTAAGACATATTATTGTATTACTCTACACTTAAAGGGACATGGTCCACTAGCATGCAATGTGGTCACGTTTTAGATTTTTCATATATGGAAAATGAGGTGGCTTCGAATATCCATTTGCAATCCGTTTCCATACATCGGTTTAACGGTCGCCAATCTTAAAGCATCTCCATTCATATAGGATAAAGGAATAATAAAGAGTAAGTTTTTGCTTATTTTACGATGTATCTATTCTATTTTCAAACATAAACAAAAGCTCGAAAGGGATGCTGGTGGACCATGTCCCTTAAATTTTTTTCTTGCATTAAAAATAATAATGATGTCGCTGCAATAATGATGATTTACGAGGGA